TATTTTGAGGTGTTGCTGTTTAGATTTTCTCTTGGGTTGTTTTCTGTCAACTAATTCAGATCAGTTAATAGATAAATTTAAGTCTGACAAACTCTCTCTTAATAGTAAAAGATACAATGCAGACAAAGCAGTATAGTCTGTTACAGCAACAGATCAGAATTCTGGCTTCTGACCATATCCTTAGCTTTTTAGCACATTGCCTTGTGTATAATAAATAGTCAAAATATATATAACTGACTGATTTTTACCTTTTTCTATACAAATTAATTACAAATTCTAACATGAGTTATGAATGTTCAGTATTTGCTACACTGATACTCTGGACTCTGACAGGAGAGTACAAAAGCCCCTCAGGATATGGTCAGAAAAAGACACCCTGTTGAGTAGCTGGGACTGCTGCTGCTTTCTTCATACTGCCTTGTAATAACTGGTGGTGGGAGGCAATCAAATCATTTGTAAATCAGGGATAACAACATCTGTAATGTTTTTAAAATTGGAAGGTTAGCTAGCCAAGTGTATAGCCACGAGGCCAACTATATCTAGCATAGGTGACTATATTACTTTTATTGTAGTGTTGAATTACATTATTCCTTTGGTTCAGACTCTTTACGTATCTCTTGTTCATGCCTGAAATGTAGAAAGATCTTGGAAGGGAATATATTCTAGGATCTCTTACTATTTAAATTTTTTAAAAGAACCACTTTCATGATACAAAACCAGTGCTAGCAACTTACTCAGTGCCAGGTACTGTTCTAAGCCCTTTTATATTTGTTGACCCATTTCATCCTCATAATTGTCTCCTAAAGTGAGCATTAGCATTTTACAGTTTTAGAGTTGACAAATAGATGCAGAGGTTAACTTATGTACATAACTTGCTAGTAGCAAAGCCAGATTTGAACCCAAGCCATTTATGCCAGAATCTATGCTTCACTACTATACTGTATGGAGCCAGACTCAATAATCTTATTTTTTGGATTTGTGCCTTTCCTTGAATGTTTAAGAAAAGCCTTCCTTATTTTCCAGTGCTGCCTTTGAAAGGTTTTTAAATTTTGCCTTTTACATTTGGGATTTAATTGTCTATTTGGAGTGAGTTAGAAATCTAATTTTATGGCGGGCACAGTGGCTCACGCCTGTAATCCCAGCACTTTGGGAGGCGGGTGGATCACCTGGGGTCAGAAGTTCGAGACCAGCCTGGCCAACATGGTAGTAGAAACCCCGTTTCTACTAAAAATATGAAAAAATTAGCCGGGTGTGGTGGTGCGCACCTGTAATCCCATCTACTCAGGAGACTGAGACAGGAGAATCACTTTAAGCCGGGAGGCAGAGGTTGCAGTGAGCTGAGGTCACGCCTCCACACGCCAGCCTGGGCAACAAAAGCAAAACTCTGTCTCAAAAAAAAAAAAAAGAGGAGAAATCTAATTTTATGTTGTTATATATGGACAGCCTAATAATATGCCAGCAAAGGCTGTTGAAAAAGGGAACCACTTTTCAGTTGGTGCCTTCATAACTCTTAGCTAAGTGCTAAGTATTAATGCCTAGAGCATGGACATCCGCTTTAAGGACTTTGTTCCTAACTCAGAATATATCGCAGCTGTTCTCCTCCCCGTCCTGTGATTCTGTAATCCAATGTAACTTTCTCTTTCTTTCCTCCTTTGCTCTCCCTCTGCACCCCACTCTTCTTCGTCCTCTCCTCTGGTTTTTTCCTCTCTTCTTCCCTCTCTTTCTCTCCATCATTCTCCTCTCTTCCCCTCCCCTTATTTCCCATTTTCTCCCTCCTTTAAAAAAAATTGTTTCTGCCAGAATTGGGAGGAGTTCCAGTAGTCCAGTGATTCATGGTTTCAGTGTTAGACTACCTTACTGCTGAAGCTATGGGTTAGTTTTTTTTAGAGGCTGAAGACCTTGGGTTCTATCAGCTATACTCTTGCAGGCATGTTGATGATTCTGAATAAGAGCTAGGACATACTATGGCTCCAAACAGCCCAAGTAGGACAGAAGTCAGATTATAGACAGACTAGTTTATCTCTTCAGTTACTACATAAGGAAATAAAATCACATCTGAAATGTGTTCACTTGTAAACATGGGGATACATTCTGAGGAATGCAGTTAGGGAGTTTTGTCAAAGTGCGAACATCAATGAGTGTGCTTACATAAACCTAGATGGTATAACGCCTAGGCTATGTGGTATAGCCTATTGCTTCTAGGTTACAAACCTGTACAGCAGGTTACTGTACTGAATACTGTAGGCAGTGTACCACAGTGGTGCTTGTGTATCTAAACATAGCTAAACAGAAAAGGTACAGCAAAAATCTGGTATTATAGTCCTATGGAACCACTGTTGTATATGCAGTCCATCATTGACTGAAATGTCATAATGCAGCATGTGACTATATGTTGAAAGTTTAGTGTAGAGATTTTTTTTTTTTTTCATTTTAGAGATATAATCAAATACAATCATGGCTCATTGCAAACTCTGCCTCCCAGGTTCAAGCTATCCTCCCACCTCAGCCTCCTGAGCAGCTGGGACTCCAGGCACGTGCCACCATGCCCAGCTAATTTTTAAATTTTTTGTAGATATGGGATTTCGCCATGTTACCCAGGCTGTTCTCAAACTCCTGGGCTCAAGCGATCCTCCCACCTTGGCCTCCCAAAGTGCTGAGATTACAGGTGTGAGCCACTGTGCCTGGCCATAGTTACACTTCTTTAGTCTACAGATTGCATGTAAATATTCATATTAATATCAGAGAACCTAAGAGAGGGATAACTAGAGCATGCAGAAACTTGGAGTCTTGGATCTAGTGACATTCTTATGTTTGCTTTCCTTTATATTGTGGTATATTTTGAGCTTAATTATTAAACATAAATACTCACCAAGGTCAAGGATCTGAAATCTCATTCAGAAAGAAAATGTAACAATTAGAACCTTGTACAACCTAGAAGACATTGGGCACTGAATAAAGTGGATTTCCAGGAGCTCTTGTTGCAACTCTTGGTACCTTGGTTATCTGGAACTCTGGCTGCTCCTCTCTTCTGCTGTGTCTGGCCATTCCACTGCTTGTTAGCATGCACCAAAAGATGAATTGGGCAGAAGGAAGAAGTGACACAAAACAGTTATTGTGCTAGTAACTATTCCGGATATTCTCTTTTATTAACTAGTGGAGCATAACGTTATTTTGTCATTAATTTCAGTATTAAGTTCTCTTTTGATTTTATTTAAATGCACAGTATTTCTCATTTGTTCATCTAGAAAGAAAGTAATGTTTTTATTCACATCAGTGGTAATATATTGAATTCAGTAATGAACTAAATGTGTTTTATGGCTCAGAGATCAGCATAGCTCCTGCTCAGATGGCAAACTGAGATAATACATCCCAGCTGAAAAAAAGATGTTATCCCTAGGTTAATTATTGGCATTTCATAAATATTTCAAACTTCCTGCATTATTGTCATGAAAATATGAGGAAGAAGGTAACCTTGTATATAGTTATTTCTAGCAAATTGTTACCTGGTACAGATTAATATGGGAACCAAGAAAAGGATTGTAATTTGGCACTTGTACTGGGGATTTTTATTACCCTAAGAAGGTTATTTTATTACTCATTACTCATTACTCTGTTACTGCTTAACAGAGAGCAGTTTTGTTTTGTTATTTTTAGAGACATGGTCTCGCTCTGTCACTCAGACTGGAGTGCAGTGGTGTGATCATAGCTCACGGCAGCCTGGAACTACTGGGCTCAAGTGATCCTCCCACCTCAGCTTCCCTACTAGCTGGGACTACAGGTGTGTGCCACCATACCTGTCTAATTAAAAAAAAAAAAAAAAACAACTGTGTAGAGAGGGGGGTCTTACTGTGTTGCCCAGGATGGTCTTAAACTCTTGGCCTCAAGTGATCCTTCTCCTTTGGCCTCCCAAAGCGCTGGCAATATAGACATGAGCCACTGTGCCTGGCCAAGAACAGTTTCTAGAGCCTTCTTCTTTGGGCACTACTCAAATTCACCACCACAAGCCACACCCAGGGATGACCTACTAAAGGATTTTTTTCTCCTGAATTTGGGAAACTTGACCTCCCCAGATTTAACTAACTATGTTGAAGAGTGAACATTTATGCTTTTAAATCTGAGTATCTTGTCTTTTTCTTCAACTCCTTTGAATGATTCTCACCCACATGAAAGGGTTAAAGTATATGTGCTTTGGAGTCCCTTGCCTAACAAAAACCTTTTACTGAATAAAAGTCACAAAATTTGGGCTCCAAAAGACCTGACCTTTGTCCCTGACTTGTTAACTTAGCTCTTACTGTTCCTGTCCCTGAGTTTTCAAGTTTTCTTGCTCAAGGTTATCACCTTTGATTTGGTAACATTCATCTTTGCCACCTTCAGCAGTACCTTCCCATCTTGCCTCCAACCATCTCCAGCTGCCACTTAAGTGCCCTTAGAATATATAGAATGATCCATCACCCTTGACATGATTTGGATAAAAATCATTGTGATAAAAATTGCATTTTTATATCTAGCCAGTAACATACCTATTCTTGCCAACATTTTTAGGTGACCATAATCTATAAGTGTGGAACAGAATTACAGAGATGTCTGAACACCAAAAGGGTTTTCATATAATTATATTGGAATGGAGATACAACTTATTTTACATAGATGTTCTTCTGAATAAAAATTATGTGTAAAAAAAGTGAATTACTTCATACTTTAAACCCACTAAGGGAGTGTTATTGTGTGAAGAAACACTGAAAAATCCTCTAGCAAAGGAAGAATCTGCCAGCTTATATCTTGTGCAGATCTTTTTTCATATATCTGTTTTGCTTAAAGTATACTTGTATGAGGACATTATATAAGAGGGAGACAGGGCTTGCATAGGACAAGGGGGGATTATAGGTCCGTTTATCTACTGAGATTTGAGAGTAGATACATTTACAATACATTTTGGCCCATTGATTTTGGAGAGGTAGTCCTCTTGGGCTTCTAACATCTACCTCTTGTTTTTACACTAGATCGAACGGTTGGAAGTAAGCAGCCTTGCCCAAACATCCAGTGCAGTGGCCTCCAGTACCGATGGCAGCATCCACACAGACTCCGTGGATGGAACACCAGACCCTCAGCGCACAAAGGCTGCCATTGCTCACCTGCAGCAGAAGATCCTGAAGCTCACAGAACAAATCAAGATTGCACAAACAGCCCGGGACGACAACGTTGCTGAATACTTGAAGCTTGCCAACAGCGCAGACAAACAGCAGGCTGCCCGCATCAAGCAGGTCTTTGAGAAGAAGAACCAGAAATCGGCCCAAACTATCCTCCAGCTGCAAAAGAAACTTGAGCACTACCACAGGAAGCTCAGAGAGGTGGAGCAGAATGGGATCCCCCGGCAGCCAAAGGATGTCTTCAGGGACATGCACCAGGGTCTGAAGGATGTGGGAGCAAAGGTGACTGGCTTCAGTGAAGGTGTGGTGGATAGTGTCAAAGGTGGGTTTTCCAGCTTCTCCCAAGCCACCCATTCAGCAGCAGGCGCTGTAGTCTCAAAGCCCAGAGAGATTGCCTCACTCATTCGGAACAAATTTGGCAGTGCAGACAACATCCCCAACCTGAAGGACTCTTTAGAGGAAGGGCAAGTGGATGATGCGGGGAAGGCTTTGGGAGTGATTTCGAACTTTCAGTCTAGCCCAAAATATGGTAGTGAAGAAGATTGTTCTAGTGCCACTTCAGGCTCAGTGGGAGCCAACAGCACCACAGGGGGCATCGCTGTAGGAGCATCCAGCTCCAAAACAAACACCCTGGACATGCAGAGCTCAGGATTTGATGCACTACTACATGAGATCCAGGAGATCCGGGAAACCCAGGCCAGACTAGAGGAATCCTTTGAGACTCTTAAGGAACATTATCAGAGGGACTATTCCTTAATAATGCAGACCTTACAGGAGGAGCGATATAGGTAAGTCACGTGGAATTAATATCTGAAATTATTTGTGTACGGTTCCCCTCCCTTTAGATATGGGGAAATGACTTTTAAAGTCTTTGTCTTTCTCTAGAGTGTCCAGAGCACTTTTGATATGTCATAAGACATCCACATGAGTTCCTGATGAAGCATTGCTGTAACTCTCCAGTCTTTCATGCCAGTTTAGAACTTTAAAATGAAGTCCAAGCTTTCTAAAGTATTTCACCTATTTATAATTAACAAAACTACACAATCATTGCAGCCTGTAACTGTACTACATTGAATTCAAAAGATCTGTAATTCTTAGAACTGTGAAGATATCAGCCAAGCAAAATGTAGTGACTTCTATAGGTATTTGGCCTTAAACACACTTATCTGAGTAACATGGTATAGAAAGATTAGACTGGAAACAAATCCAAATAAGAATGTTATCTTTATTATGAATTGACAAGTGTTTGAATAAGAGTGGACTTAAACATGAAATGGTTCTATAGGAGTTAGAAAATTCTCAAAGGGTTAAGTGCTTTGAATCATAGTCTCTGTTAAAGGTAGAAGCTGGTCTCATTTTTGTGTTTCATATTACACGACATATTCTATTAGACCACTCTTGGCTATACTCTGAATATGTGTCCTTTCTCCTTGTTACCTTCACATGCAGAGAGAAATAATATTCTCGCCTGACCAACATGGAGAAACCCCATCTCTACTAAGAATACAAAATTATCCGAGCATGGTGGTGCATGCCTGTAATCCCAGCTACTCGGGACACTGAGGCAGGAGAATCGCTTGAACCCCGGGAGGTGAAGGTTGCAGTGAGCCGAGATCTCACCATTGCACTCCAGCCTGGGCAACAAGAGCAAAACTCCGTCTCAAAAAAAATAAATAAATAAAATAATCTATGGATAGATCCAAACTTTGTTAGCCAGAGACAGGCCACCTAGTGCTGCAAATTGAGGACTAGTCTTACAGGAGCTACAGGTCAAGTTAGGCCTTGAAGGACCTGGGTTCTGGCCCTGTCCCAATTATTAACTAGAGGAAATCCTCAGTATTTCTACTGTAATATCAGGAGTTGAACAGATAATATTTTAATATCTCTTTCACCTTTTAAAAATAAGTGTTTTGGCCGGGCACGGTGGCTCAAGCCTGTAATCCCAGCACTTTGGGAGGCCGAGACGGGCAGATCACGAGGTCAGGAGATCGAGACCATCCTGGCTAACATGGTGAAACCCCGTCTCTACTAAAAAATACAAAAAAACTAGCCGGGTGAGGTGGCGGGCGCCTGTAGTCCCAGCTACTCAGGAGGCTGAGGCAGGAGAATGGTCTGAACCCGGGAGGCGGAGCTTGCAGTGAGCTGAGATCCGGCCACTGCACTCCAGCCTAGGCGACAGAACGAGACTCCGTCTCAAAAAATAAATAAATAAATAAATAAGTGTTTTTAAAAGTTTGCTTTTATAAGGTAATCTTAGGGTCTGAAACAAATTGTTCACATGTATAAATTATCTCTAAGAAGAGTTACAGCAGCACGTTCTTTTCAGATGGTGAAAACGCTAATCAGTAATTCAGCCTGCCTCTTTTCTTACTCTTCTGTTCTTCAATTCTAACTTAAGACTTCAAGGGAGAAGACCAGAGAAGTGAGTGTGGGAGGGAGTAATAAAGTTCTAAAAGCAAATACTGTACATTACTATTTTTATTTAAGTGTTTTATAAATTCTTTAGTATGGCAGGGCGCAGCGGCTCATGCCTGTAATCCCAGCAGTTTGGGAGGCTGAGGAGGGTGGATCACCCAAGGTCAGAAACTCGATACCAGCCTGACCAACATGGAGAAACCTTGTCTCTACTAAAAATACAAAATTATCTGGGCATGGTTGTGCATGCCTGTAATCCCAGCTACTCAGGAGGCTGAGACAGGAGAATCACTCAAACCCAGGAGGCGGAGGTTGCAGTGAGCCGAGATCGTGCCGTCATACTCCAGCCTGGGCAACAAGCATATAACTCCGCGTCAAATAAAAATAAATACTTTAGTATACTGAGAAGACAGTGTCTTATTCAATTAGTGATATAACAGATATTCAAATGGACTCAAAAAGTAAAACACTGGTTCTTTGTACCGTATTAAACCTAACTCCCAAGTTCAAATTCCAGTTCTTCCACTTACTAACCTTGGAAACCTGGGCAAGGTTTCTTCAATTCTCTAAGTCTTGGTATACCCATCCATAACATAGAAATAGTAATCGTTCTTTATAAGATTATTGTGACATTAAAATGAAATTATTTGGTTAAAGCACATAGCTCAGTGCCTGGCCCCATAGTGCTCTACTGATGTTAGGGGGACAGCTGCTGTTAACCCCACTTAGAACATGAAGACATTCCACAGTCAGTTAAAAAATTTTTTAAAAACCACACAAAACTGCCTGCTTTGACTCCTCTGTTTTGTTTTTGTTTTAGATTGGTTTTGAGACAGGGTCTCAATTTATTGCCCATACTGGAGTGCAGTGGTGCGATCTTGGCTCACTGCAGCCTCTACCTCCTGGGTTCAAGTGATCCTCCCATCTCAACCTCCTGAGTAGCTGGGACTGCAGGTGTGAACCACCATGCTTGGCTCGTTTTTTTAATTTTTTTGTAGAGACAAAGTCTCACTATATTGCCCAGACTGGTCTTGAACTCCTGGGCTCCAGGACTCCAGTGATCTGCCCTCCTTGGCCTCCCAAAGTGCTGGGATTACAGGTATGAGTCACCATACCCCGCCAACTCCTCAATTTTGAGTGGATACCTTGCAGTTTTTAAATTGCCCCAGAGCTTAAAATTCATATAGAGCTTGTTATCACTTCATGTCAAGATGTAGAAAGTCAAGATACGAGAAAATCAGAAACAGGTCTCTCAGGCGCCACCTTTGAATCCATTTAGTGTAAGTCAGAGACATAATAGAACAGAACGTTAGCTGCTCATTAACACCTCATTAGAAGAATTAAGTTCAAGCCACTTAGGAGGTAATGAGCTGTGCATTTCTTTCATTGCACTTTGGATTCTTCCTAGTAGGTAAATGGCTAGTTTTATGGAATGAAGACAGAATAAAGAAAACTTGAATTTTCAAAAAAAGAGTTAAAACCAGGGGGCAAGGAGAAGACATAATATGTAATCTGACTTGTTTTGTTTTTCCATTTCAGCTTTAGAATGATTTTTCCTTAAAACATAATCTTGAAGAAAGAAATCCCTTTTTTTCCCCAAGAAAGGGAGTGGAAAATTCATAACTATTTTACTTTGTTTTTGTTGTTCCAATAATTCCCTGTATAAAGCAGATAGAGAGTTCCCCTCCATTATATATGGCTTTACACAGTAAACATGTTCATCTAATTTTGTTGATCTTTGAATGCTTTCACATAAATAAAATTTTTCTACAAATTGAAGTCTTTTTTTTTTTTTTTTTTTTTTTTTTTTGAGAGTCAGAGTCTTGCTGGCCAGGCGCGGTGGCTCACGCCTGTAATCCCAGCACTTTGGGAGGCTGAGGTGGGTGGATCACGAGGTCAGAAGATCAAGACCATCCTGGCTAACACCATGAAACCCTGTCTCTACTAAAAATACAAAAAAAATTAGCCAGGCATGGTGGCATGCACCTGTAGTCCCAGCTACTGGGGAGGCTGAGACAGGAGAATTGCTTGAATCCAGGAGGTGGAGGTTGCAGTGAGCTGAGATAACACCACTGCACTCCATCCTGGGTGACAGAGTAAGACTCTGTCTCAAAAAAAAAAAAAAAAGGGGGGGGGGTCAGGGTCTGTCTCAAAAAAAAAAAAAAAAAAGGGGGGTCAGGGTCTTCTGTTATGTCAGTTCTGCTGGTCTTGAACTCCTGCCTGGCAATACTTCCACCTCAGCCTCCTTAGTAGCTGGGACTGCAGGTGCATGCCACCATGCCTGGCTTTGAAATATATTTTCTTTCTTTCTTTCTTTCTTTTTGTTTTTGGAGACAGTTTCACTCTTGTTTCCCAGGCTGGAGTGCAGTGGTACGATCTTGCCTCGCTGCAACCTCCGCCTCCTGGGTTCAAGCGATTCTCCTGCCTTAGCCTCCCCAGTAGCTGGGATTACAGGACAGGTGTCTGCCACCACACTCAACTAATTTTTTGTATTTTTAATAGAGGCGGGGTTTCACCATGTTGGCCAGGCTGGTCTCAAACTCCTGACCTTGGGTGATCCACCCACTTCAGCCTACCAAAATGCTGGGATTACAGACATGAGCCACCACGCCCAGCCAGAAACCTGTTTTAAGCACTGAAACTTTTCACATTTTAAGCATTTTGGGGAAATTTCTCTGCCTTCTTTTACAAAGTACACTGAATCTAACTTAATGGAAAGAACTTAGATACAGTAGTATTCAGCTTAGAGTGATACTCTCAGGTTACTGAAGCTGTCCATTTATGTGCCTCTGCAGTAAATGGCCCTAGGCTTTTCTTAGTTCGTCTGCTTTTTTTATAGTTTTTTCTCCTTTCCATTTCTTCTCCACACTGTTAGTGAGCTGCCGGCAGCAGCCTTTCTTTACTAATTCTACTTCTACTCTGTTGCAGGCTTTGCTTTTGTGTAGGAAGAAAGTAGGCTGTGGATGGACTTCACAGATCCTTCTGTGACCAAGAACCAGTTAATGCATGCATGGATGCTCAAGATACATTTTTTTCTACCCTTTAGTTTATTTTACTAGTATCTGAGTTGATGAGAGGGAGGCCATGCACAGTGTTGCTGTTTGTTATTTGATGATGATGGTGACAAGTCCACTACCACTAACAGTATTAAACTCCTGTGATGTGCCTAGTGCTAGATGCTTTACGTACACTTGCCAATCCTCACAGTAGGCCCTACGGGTAAATTGTATTATTCCCATTTTAAAGATGAGGAAATTGAAGCTCAGTGGGGTTTTACAAGTTGCCAGAGGTCACTCAGTAAGTGGTAAAGCCAGGATTCAAAACCCAGTTTTGTCTGACTTCAAATTCAGTGTTATTTTCATACCAGGATGAT